TAAACTAGACTCTATTGGAGATTTATGATATTAGAGCAAATTATAAAATTTGATCATCAGATTTTGTGGATTGTCAGATGTGAATATGATAAGTTTCGAGCCTTGTGCATTTGTGGGACCCTCTCACGAGTGCACGGCGTCTGCCATGTCCTCGGATTCGGGTTCTGGGGCGTGATAGATTTAGTGGTATCAGAGCTTAGGTTGAAATTAATAGCTTAATTTTAAATTAAGAGCTTAGGATTAAGTTAAGAACCTCCAGATTGAGTGGCATCAAAGTAGATTGAGTGGTATCAGAGCTTAGATTTAATTAAATACCTAGGTTTAATTGAATACCTAGGATTTGTTTTGGACTTGGCTGGCCAATGGATTTTAGAACCGTGGTGAGACGAGTGATGGGGTTATATAAGGGACGATTCTGATTCGTGTTGCCTAAATTTTCTAATCCATTTTGATGAGATGGTAATCCAATTGTTCTTGTTTCCTGCCTTTATACCCTGTGTAGATTCATGAAATTAATCTTATCCGTCATGTTCTGAAGACCTTGTTTTAAAACTTGGTCATTTTCTGATAGTCTGCACTTGTTTAGACTTGTTACTTGAATAGAATTTTTGTATGCTCTTTTGCCACAATTGTAAAATCTGGGGAGTTTGCAGAGATTTTTTGTTATTGATTCTGTTGGTCTCTACAGCATAGCTGGTTGAGCAACTGCTCTGTTTGTCACATGACCAGTGGAAGATGGGCAACCCTCTACTTGTAAGAGATTCAAGGCTATTTTAGCAAGTGTTGTGTGTTTTCTAGATGCGTTTTGGGAGCTGGATAACTTGGTAATTCCGTTGCTCATTATCTTTCTAAAAGTCTTATGGTGAAGTTTCACTTTTTCCATTTGGAGCTTCATGGTCTTTCATGTGGCTCATTTTTCCATATTGGTTAATCAGAAAAACAATGATCAATTCAATTGAAATTGCCTTGTTTTGTGAAGATTGGCAAGCTGTCATAAAGTTAAACTCTCTATTGTTGCCAATCTTTACATTCTTGATACTTGAAAATTTCTTGAAACTCTTAAAATCCATCTTGAATCTTTCTTGATATTATTTTGTACTTGTTCTTGAAACTAAAATCCAGAATGGATAATGATTATTGAAATTCTCATTATCTTGATACTTGTCTGAAATTGATTCTTGCATTGTTTTTGGAATCTAGTTTGAGTTGTCCTTGAAAACGTTCTTGTTCTGACACTAGTTCTTGCTCAAATTCTGTATATTGCTCTTGCTCAAATCGTGCATATTCTGCTAGTTCTTGTTTCAATATACCTGTTGATCTTCTTGATTTTCAATTTTGTTTATATGGACACCTCTTTAGGAGGGGTGATGATTATGAGAAAATACCTATATGAGGCATCCTCATTCTTGTCTCTTGCAAGTATTCGTCTCTGTATCCTTGATGTCTTAGCTTTGACTTGATTCTAGGATGACTTGATTGTAAATCTGCTTAGCCTCCATGGGCTACGAGGTAAAGGGGTATTCCTTCAAGTACTTGATGCCCTAGAGTTTTGTTCCCAGAGAAATGGTTCTTTTATCTTGCTGCTTTGATTTTTGTTTGCCCTTTTATTTAGAAGACATGAATCTTCTAAGCATCTTGATCCTAGCCATTGCTTTGTTCTGTTAATTAATTCTAGTACTTGAGGTGCTAGATCTTGACATCTTGATTATATCTGCTCTTGAATTTGTGTTCTGATTGTCATTATTGAAATCTCTTTGTGGGCCTAATTCTTGAATTCAATTGCTTGTTTCATGGTTAACTCTTGTCTCTCAATTTTGATTGCTTGGTCAAATTTGATCTTGATTCTTGATGAATGCCATTTTGTTGTTGAATTTTTTGAGACATTCTACCTTGTACTCTTATGTTTTTGTATTCTTCCAAGCATTCATACTTTTCACTGATTTCATTCTGATGCTATTTTGGAAACTTCACATGTCATTTGATGGGTTTAGCTTTTAACTCTTGTTAATTGCTAAAATTTGTTTCTTGATTCTAGTTGCTTTGTTAAACATGATCTTATTGGTTAACCTTATTTTATGGCAGAATTTATAAGGCATCCATGCACTTGTTCATTCATTCATGATTCATATATCCATTGGATGCCTATCCGTCTTTGATAGAGTTCAAATTTTGTTGTACTCGTCTGTAAATCCATGCCATTCTTTGCCAACTCGTCTTGTGATGAGTTCGAGGCGTAACCCCATAATTGTTCTTTTGTGGCTTTGGCAGAATTTATTTTTATTCCTTGTGCTTCCCACATCACCCCAGCCTTTAGTAGCTTGTTTCATGGTAAATCCTATTAAGTAGTTAGTGTTCTGCTTTTATGATTAGTTGTGGTTTGATATCAGAGTGGCGCAGCAGAAGCGTAATAGGTTATGTTTTGTTTATAAAGAGTTAGTGGGACATTTGTTTTGTCTTGGATTGGGTGAAGCCATTCGCCACTTGAAATGATCCCCAATTTGAGTTTTGGGGACAAAACTCCTTTTTAGAAGGGGTGGATGTAATACTCCAAAATTTATAGAATTTTTAGCATTTAGTTAGGGGTTTAATTGTGAGAAAATATTGTTTTGGGGCTTAATGGAAAAATGTTCAAAAGTTGAGGGACTTAAAAGTGAAAGGATTTTGGATAAGGATCAGCTTCTTCTTTTTCTTTTTCTTTCTTTCTTTTCTTCCTCCTCAAACCCGATTCTGCTCTTCTTCCCGCTGCAGCCCGAAAGAAAAAAAAAAAAAAGGGGAACCAGCCATGCTTTGAGAAACCGGTGAAGCGTGATGGTTCTTCCCTTATTTTCTTGTTCTAGAACTGAAAATGGAACCCAGAAATTCTCCCCCTGTTGGAAAATCCGGATCTGCCTTGCTCTGTCCGCCGGCTGCTCTTGTTGTGAGGGCGAATTGCTTTGATTTTCGGTAAGCCACAGCCATGATTTCCTCT